ACACCTACGATTTTAACTGTAGGCCTGGAATTCGTACAGACAACCTAGAAATGCCTCCTAAGTTTACAATTTGCCAATTATTCGCCAACAATTGTTGGCTTTTATTAAAAGTCCCAAAAAAATCTGCTGGGTCTCAGTTTCAACGCCTTGAGACAATTTGAATTTAAAGTGCAGGGACGTATACTAGTAAATATGGGATGAATGTGGTGGTCGCTGTGGCGCGAGATACACAGGGAAGCGTTTATTGGATGTTAAAAGGACAGAAAGCAGCAATCAAAGTAATGGTTATGCCAGCCTAACCATAGGTTGATGAGAGGTGTTGAGCTCTGCCAATGTCCCGGGAGGTCCAGTCGATGAGTGTGACGATGTGGAGAGTCGAGTTGAAGATCGACGTGTGGAACCAATTGGAGTCGAGAGCAGGACAGGACGAGGACCAGAAGCTGGAACCAGGACCAGGACCAAGAGTGAGGAAAGGGGGTTTATATGGAGCCTAAAGGACCGCCCCGGATGTGAAGGAATGTTCCTCCCTTCCGGTGATAAAAACCCAAAAGGCGTCAGACAGGCGCGTTAAAAAAAATTTGTTGACCAAGAAAAGGATGGAATTGGAAGGAATGTAAAGATTGTTGAATAAGATTAAGATGGGTAAGGGATTGGATTACTGTAATGAGTCATGAGAAGAAGGAAATGGAAACAGCATAAAAACTATATATAACATATTTGTGCCTGTTTATACACTTAGAGAAAAACTATGTCTTTTACTTTGCTACTTGTGAAAATTGCGCGATTCCGACTGATGTAAATGACGAAAAGTGTTATTTCAAAAACTATAATTAATTGTGCTGATGGCATGCAGCAGTGAGAAGCAGCGTTATTGTTGTACCATATTGGTCGATGGTTCGACCCTCGCTGAAGAGCCAGTGAATTTTTCTAGGATTCGTTCATTCTTTTCAACGGAAAATTGATGCTTGCATATGCCAGGGACACAAACTCGTCATCACAGCTTGCTTGTAGGTATCCTTCAAAATAGACGATCATCGACAGCACTGCCAGCGAATGGTTGGTTGCGATTGGCATTTGCTATCACTTGGGCTACTTTCTGAGTACCTCAGATTCTCACAGACAACGAACTAATTCTGGGTACCTCAGTCTCTCACAAAGAGCGAATACAGACGAAGGTCTTGATAATTTTACCCGGCGCCATCATGAGAGGAGTGGCAAGTTCATCAGGAATGGGCCCAGTTTTCTTTTTCCGCTGGCGACGTTTCTTCAACAGTGCTTCGAAATCGTTTGCCCAGGCTTGGACCTCCTCCTGCAACACACATAACGATGGATGCTAGATAATGTGGTAACCATATATGTCAGTTACTCACTTCTATGGAGCACAGTTATCCAGGGCTAGATTGAGCAAATTCGGTTTTAATTATGTTGCCTCTCTTGCTAATACGTAGTGTTTGAAAACATGCTTTTCAAAAACGTTAAGCAGAATTTAAGCAAATTTAGTAAAAATCTGTTTCTTGAAGGCAAAAAAGCCGTGGATGCATTGCTTTTTCATGGGAAGCCTGCTGCGCTACTGTACTCCAAAAATCTGAAATTCAATGGGGAAACAAAAACAAAGACAATACTCATGGATATATCATACTCATTAAAAAAATAGCGCTTTTCAGATAAACTTAATTATGCGCATGTACAAATTCAATACAACTTAAGATTGCCGCTGGAGGAAACTCTAATGGCTACTAATTAAAATTTTGGTCGTTGCTAATGGTACAGTAAATGTGGGACAGATGTGGTGGTCGTTGTGGCGCGAGGTGCACAGGGAAGCGTTTATTGGTAGTTAAAAGAACAGAATACAGAAATTAAAGTAGTGGATATACCAGCCTAACCATAGGTTGATGAGAGGCGTTGATCTCTGCCAATGTCCCGGGAGGTTCAATTGATGATAGAGACGACGTGGAGAGTTGGAGGAGCGACGTGTAGATGTTGGAAATAAAACCCGGATCAGGACCCGGACTAGGACCAAGACCAAGGCCAAGGCCAAGAGTGAGGGAAATGGGGGTTTATATGGAGGCTAAC